AGTTTTTACAATAAGAAAGTGCTACAATAGAAACGGTTGGTCAGATCCTGTTCCCAGGAGACACAGAAAAGGGCCGGAGGTTTCTGTGCTTAGTTCATGGTAGTAAAATGAATTTTTCCCTCCTTTTACAGTGGAATAAAGTGTCAGATATTTTTGTTTCCCTCTCGTTCTCCCTGCAGGCTGGCCAGTACACCTCCATATTTGTGGACAACAGTGCCGGGGCTCCCATCACCATTCAGAACGGATCAGATTTCATGGGCATGTTAATGGGCGCGTAACATCGTCTGCAGGGAAGGAGAGGAATTAGAGCCTTGCAGTGTACATTTGACTGAAGAAACCTTTACTTTGACTCTTGAAGACTGCTTCCTGTAACTGTTGGCATCTTTTTAAACAAGCAAAGAGCCTTTGCTTTCACAGATACTTCAGCTTGCTTTCAGAGGCTACTGCTTTTCAAGGTCCACACCAGTTCATTCATCATAAAAAAATACACTTTTATAATTCAGAAACAGACTCTGTAATATTTAATTTGTGCTTCACCAGATGCTCACTGAACAATACACTGAGATTTGGAATTTGTTATAATATAACTTTATTTCACAACAGCACTTGTAATCAGCATGTCTTTTGGGATTGATTGTGGGGTGTTTGAGTTTGTCAATGAAGGATTGAGAAGGGAAGTAAACCAGGGACTATATTCTACATGTTGTGGAGGAAGGAGACAAGGATTTGCCAGCAAAACTGCTTTTTTCATACAATTGTAAATGGTATAGGCCCTCTCATGTTCAGAATTGGATATATTTGACAAGAAGCACGTTGAATTCTCAGTGCCTGCTTCACAGGTGGGAATCCAAAGTCTGAACTCTTTAATTGTGGTTCTTCATATCTAAGTATTTCCTTGATCTTATTGATGAAGCTGAATACCTCGCTGCCTGTACAGTTCTGTTTTTAGGAAAAGGTAAGGCCAATGACACCAGTTCTAGCATTAACTCCTTTACTGATGTTCTTATGTTTTAGTAAGATATACGAGTAGTTTTGGACTGCATGGCATAAACAGCGTCCTCTCAGGTGCCATATAATTGTTTGTAAATGCGTCAAATGCATTAGACTGTCCAAAGCCTGGCAAAGATAGTGAGGACAGCAGCCTCAGATCAGGTATGTCACCTCTTCGGTGCTCGTTGGACTGTAGTGAAATCATGAAAGAAAACACGGAGCAAGGCTTACCTCCATCAGGTGGCCAGGGTCAGGAGGAGTCTCTTTGAGCTCCACTTGGACGTTGAAAGTGCTGTCAAAGACCACCCAAAAGACCGTCCAGTTTGCTGGATTTCTGCAAATCTGTTTGCGAATGTAAGCATGTGAGATGGAGCCCCCAAAGCAGCTTTGCATATAGCTCCAGGCTATAAACTCATTTTAACACAGTGAAAGGGTGTTGACATTTTGCGGGGTTAAGGTGTTACCCAAGGTGTGGTAACACCCTGGTGATTAAGAAAAACCACACTCATGTAATGCACCTCAGTAGCTTTCCCTTTCAACAGACACCTGGCCCCTTTATGATTCACCTTTGCTAAGGAAATGGTGTATATAACAGTGTCATCAGTCGATGGTAGCAAGGCTCAAACCGGAATCCAGATACTTGTTCTGGAGTGTTGGCGGTGGATGGAAGATACCCCTCGTGGAGTGTTGCAATTTTTGATCAACTACAATATCCTCGTGCAATGAAAACAAAGACTGCTATGGACAGCAGAAGGCGTGAAAAAAGTGTCATCCGTTGCTGGGTCTGTTGTTTGGGCTGATCAATAGATGATGTTTCCACAAGCCCCAGTAACACTGCTGCTGAGGTCAGTGGTATGTGAAGAAGTGTTGTTTCAAGAGCTGTGGAAAAATCTGTCGTGGCTGAAACCGTTTCTGTCATCTCCATTATAAATACCTTGAGACAGATCTTTAAGGGAGGACTAAATGGTATTTTTCCTTTTGTGAAGAACACATTGAAGTGATACCTATTGGAGGGGGGAGGAGAAGGTACAGGGAATAACCAAGCAGTGCTGGTACACGAGGAAGCACAGGTAAATCCCACCTTCTAGTCAATGGAACGCGGTTGTTCTAACTGGACCTGTGTCACTGTTTAAAACAGAGCAGCTCTCAATATTTATATATTCTTGCTTCACATACCAGAATGCCTATGGATTTTTTTTTTTATAGTACACTTTGGGGAGAATGTACTTTTAAGCATAAACTGGGTGCTCCACGGGCAGAGGGGGTCCCCAGCTACTGAAAGGCAGAGCAAGCAGCAGCAGCGGTCATTTCTGGGGCTTTAGAAAGCGGGTAGCACACATGAGGATCGCTAAACCCCATCAATAAAGATTGGCTGTTTACACTGGGTTTTGATGGAGTGAGTGTAGCCAGGGCAAGTGGCCGGTATCCCAGCATCTATTTCTATACTGTACTTTGTACTGTGTGAATATTTGTAATAAATCGGGCTGTTTCATGCATGACTTACAGTAACATAAAGTGTTGTGACATTCAGCATATGTTGTTATATCTATAGGGTTGTGTTTTTTTTTTTAAACCAAACCTCGCTGTTCTTGGTAAATCAGAGTTAAAATATTTATTTTGTTGTAGAACTAAAAATATTTGTCTGACTTTGTTTTGGGATTTGTGACTTTTTTTTTTTCTCCTTTCTTTGCTGGGTTTTGCTCTCATGATCTTAGCAGGAGATGAATTGTTCCGCCTTTAGACCTGTTCTCCCTTGTTTATCCAGGGAGCACTGTCCTGACGAGCGTTTCCCCCGTGTGCTAGGAGCTGTCTAAGCCTGTGGTTGGGCAATCCTGAGAACACACAGCCTCAACATCGTGGGCTTAAATCCCTGGGCAGGAGTGATTGCCTGTGGACGCTGTCAGAGTAAACTCTCTGGTGTCTGTCTGGAAGCCGCGTTGCCTTTCTGCTCCAGCCAGCAGAGACAGCTTGTGTCAGACTTGGACAGCGCTGGGGAAAGAAGCCAGACGAGCAGAAGAAACGGACAGCGTGTCTCTTCATTTGTCCCGAGTTCACTGTCAGCGCTGGAGAGCTTGGGGGGGGTTGATCAGCTCTTTTTATGCTCAGGATAGAGGCTTGTGCCTTAGGGAGCTCTCCTATGCACCGCCAAGCTCTTTTAGCCAAAAGACTTTTTAAAAATTATTATTTTTAAGAGTCTTTTAGCTCTGAATGCAACCACGCTGCAGTTCTCTTGTACCCTGGGGCTTCAGCCAGCGATCAGTGCGAGCAGGAGGTTGTCCGTCCAGCAGTAAGATGGGGCAGAATGGGCTGAAACAGCCAAGAAGCTGAGACTGGACCTCCAGTGTCGAGGTGCAAGGGCACAAAACTCATGACTAATATGGACACGAGCCTCCTGGCTGGGCTGGGGCTGAGACAAACACCCTGCGAATAGAAGTGAGCACTAGAATGGTAGTTAAATGCTTGGTCTTCAGCGAAATGGTAATTTGAAAACCATCTGCACTGGTGACTGGAGTAAAAAAGCAGAGTAAAATTATCCCTATATAGGCTTTAATACTATGTGATATTTAAAAATTGATACCAGGTACTTTGTCATCATCATTCCTGTGATGGAGAGAGCCCTCAGAGCAGGCTCTGGAGGTAAGGAGGAAAAATCAGCTTGGAGACTGTGCAGCATCGAACGGGAGCACGCGGCTCTGTGCTGTAGTTATCAGGGTGCTTCTGTGTGGCTGGCTGCAGGATGTCCCCTCCTGCTGCTGGCTTTCAGGACAGCTTGGGTGTCCCCACACCCAGTGCCAGCGTGCTTGGAGATGTTTTCTGTACCATTGGGACTCTTGGGAAATACTTGATATTTTCTGATGAAAAACGAGAGAGAAACCCGGCATCACATGGAGAACAGCGTTTGGTGTTTCCGTAACATCTTCCTACAGGTTTTGTGGATTTTAAAGTCAGGATCTTAAATCTCAGTTGAGGCACTTGCTGCTTTGTTAGCTCAACCTTGTGCTTTGGTTTATTTCTGCAGCTTGTTTCTTTTGGCAGAGGAAGCGTTGTGTTTGCCTTTGGCACAAGCCCTGTTTGCGTGTTTGTCCTCTGGCCGCTTTGGGTGTTTGTTTCCTTTCCTCCCTGCTGTTTGCTCTCCCTCTAGCTGTGCCTGGCTTGCAGAGCTCTGGAAGAACAGCCACGGCGTTCCCAGCTCCCTGGGAGGGATGCTCAGCAGTGAGAGTGGCCCTGGATGGGGACAGGGTGGCACTTGGAGCTCTGGCAGGAGATTGGAGGAGAGTTTGTTGCCTTGCTCCTCCTCACCGTCTGCTTTTTTCAGAGTTTGTTTTCCTGCAGGAGCTGGGAGGAGAGGTGTGAAGGACGGGCTGGCACGGGGACCTGGAGCAGCGCTGGGGCACAAACCAAGGGCTCAGTGCTTGGGGTGGGAAAGGAGCCCGGCTGCCTGCGGGGTGTGCCTGTTGTCACTTGGGTGCTCACGGGTTATTTAGAAATGCCTGACAACCTCTCCTAGTCCTTTTCTTTAGGCAAAACGTATGGGATCTATCATACTGCAAAGACTGGGAGCATCCCCCCGCTGGGTTACTACCCCGTGGCTCCTGCGAGTAGCCAAGGGCGGGCTGGTTCCCTGGGCACGGGCTGGGGTTAAAGCTGGGCACAGAGTTCTTGGCAGGAGTAGCTGCAAAACTAATTATCTGGGATGCTTGCATGGACAGGAAACTGAGTTTCAGTAGATGGGAGAATACTCCTCAGTGTAGCTCTAGTTGCAAGGAAAAAAAAAAGCCGAGCTGATTTAGAGCGACTGAAAACCGTCCCGAAAGCGCTCTCAGGTGCCCCCTTGGACGGGTGCCGAGTGTTTGCTCTGTGTGTGTGTTTACAGGCTGATGAAGTTGGGATTTGTTTGGTTTTGTTTTTGTTTAAAGCAAAGTTCTCCAGGGCTGTTGTAATTCTCAAACCCTCTTTTTCCCAGCAAAGGGTGCTGGGAGTTGCCAGTAATCTATAAACCAGGAGTGACACTCAGTCTGGGGGGAAATGATCTCAAGCGGTATAAACATCTCCAACCAGGTCTCGGGTTTTAAAGTTTTATGAAGTGATAGAGATTCTGGGGATGTTTTCACAAGAGGCTGGACAGCGAGGACCAGGGCAGCTCAGGCGGGTAGCGGTGGTGTTGCCGTGAGGGCTGAAGCCTGGTTTGAGATGACGCTGTTGTGTCCTGGGGGACATGGACTTGTCTGTGGGAGCAAATATGTCTCAGAGCAAGAAAATGGAAAACCTGGGTTCTGTTTCTATCACTCCCATTGACCTCTTTGTTGACCTTGGGCAGGATCCCTCATCCTTTCTGGGTTTTTCCCAGTTCAGCCACTGGCTCTTCAGGACACAGGTTTTGGGGGGTTACAGCAGCCAAAGGGGGCTCACACGGGGTTAAGGGGTGCTTGAGTCCTAGAGCGCTCTGAAGTTGACCTTGGGTATCGCCTGGTGTCCCTGCTGCC